CTCAACATCTAGTTGATCTTCTACATCTTCTTGTGATTCGTCAGAAAAATATGCCACATCCTCGGAAAATGTAAATTTTTCCAACATTTTTATAAACTTTCAAACATTTTTCCAACAATCTCTTTAACGGATTTTGTAAATTGTTTAGGTGGATCAGCATAGATCAGATCAAATTGTAACATGTCTATAAAAATATTCAATATTCCTACATTATATCTTTTGTATAATGTGTTAAAAAAATATACAAAATATTTATCTTTGAAATATACGTTATCGATTAAATCTTCTTTTGAAATATCAGATTTTGCCAATATTTTGATTTGTTCTATCAAGAAAGGATCCATGTTTACAAAATACAATGTCAGTGTATCAAAATAAACAAACAAGAATTGAGACTTCTTCACCGATCAGTATTCGCGAGAAAACTTAACTCGAGAGAACGTACGTAGTCCTAAAAGCTAACAGTTATTTATTTATTTTATTCATTTTATATTTATTTTTTTTATTATTATCATTATATAAAATTCGGACATTGCTGTACAATAGGTTTTTTTTGTGAGAAAACTAACTGTGCGTGTATGAGAGTCAAGTAAAACGAGCTTTTTCGTTTATGGTCACATGGTTCTAGATCAAGTACAGATCCGTTCTCTCATGCACGCATGCGTACTTAAAAAACTGTTAGCTTTTGGAACTATATTTCTCTCGAGTTAGTTTTCTTATTGATCGGTGAGGAAGTCTCTCAATTCTTGTTTGTTTATTTCGATACATTAACATTGCATTTTGTAAACATGAATCTTTTTTTGATAGAGCAAATTAAAATACTGGCAAAATCTAATATTTTAAAAGAAGATTTAACCGATAGCATAACATATTTCAAAAGTAAATATTTTGTATATTTTTTTAAACATATTTTTACTAGAATATTTGTCTAAAAAAGAACAATACATATTATACGTAATACCTACGTATTATTAATACATTTTTTTAACTGCTGAGGACACCATTGCCATTTAAAATAGAATGATTGCCATGTATGGTGACGATTATGTGTTATAGAAAACAGTCTACAAGTGGTGGATACGGTTCCAAGACGTTCGTGAAAATGAGTTTAGAAATGATCACAATATTTATTTGACCGTGCTGCACCGGTGTATTGTCTGCTTTCATGACCTTTCTGGAATCGTATTCATTACTTGTAGATTGTTTTCCGCTGCATCTAATCCATCATCACACACAGTAATCATTCTACGATGAATATCAATCGACATGATGCCTTCAGTATTTAAAAAACATATCATTGCACGTTGTTTTCATTTTAAATAAAACGAATTTTCCAGTAAAAACGTCTTTTTTCCAGAGTTATTTCGTTTTCTCTAAAGAAAACATAATAGAAATCTAGAGAATAATCGATCAATTACGATTGGAATTTATTCCGAATAATCCTAATATGTTTATCCTGGATGATAAAAAAATCTATACTTGTTATAAGAAGGTCGGGCACATATAACATCGCATACGTAGTCAATTTTAAATATGTAAAGGGTGTCCCAAAATTAACGCAAGATTTGAATTTGCCGCCATTTGTGCAGTAAAGTGTTGGCAACCCAAAAAAAAACAATTTAACAGCTGACAGTTTAGGGTTAGTGAAAATGGAGCGTGAAAATGGATTATTGAACATCAACAAATGGATGCTGATTTTTCGAGCAAAATCATCCTAAGCGATGAAGCACATTTTCACCTTGATGGCTTTGTTAATCGCCAAAATCGCCCCCTAGATCGTGTGATTTAACACCATTAGATTTCTTTTTATGGGGTTATTTGAAATCACAGGTCTATGTCAACAAGCCCACAACCACCCGTGCATTAAAGGAGGAGATTCAACGCTGCATCAACGAAATTCAGCCACATTTATGCAAAATGGTCATGGAAAATTTCGACAAACGAGTGCGTATGTGCATGCAAAGCCGTGGAGGCCATTTGCCCGATGTGTTATTCCACAAATAACCCTATCCTATGTACTTTATGATTCAATAAAAAAATAACAATCAAAAGACTAAAAACTGTGTTTTCTATTTAATTCAAATCTTGCGTTAATTTTGGGACACCCTTTATAAGTTACATATAGTATAACAGATTTTTTTATATCATGCCGAGAGTGATTGCTACAGTGCCTGCTATCTTTTCGTTTGATTAAACTAATATGTTCTAAAATATGTAAAAAATATTCAAATTTCAGATTTGTTCAAAATTAGAGCGATTAAGATTATATAATAAGACATTTTTGTTCTTTTAGTTGTCGCTGAGGTTAAATGATGTACATGTGTGCTGTGCTGCTATAATAAGTGAGAAATGGGCTGTGACAGCAGGTCATTGCATGCAAATGTAAGTAACATAACAAATTTAGAAATAATGGTTTGTTAATTATTAATAAAAAGATAATATATATTGTAGAACTGACGATCCTATAAAAGAGATTACCTTATGTAGTGGATCTTCCATTCTTTATGAGAATTGTACCGTTCATAACGTAAACAATTTTTTCATACATGAAAACTTTGATAACGATATCAATGACTATGACATCGCTGTTATACAAGTAACACCTGCATTCATATATAATGATCATACGAAAGCGGTTGACTTGGCGTCAAACAAAAATGTTCATAGGAAATGGGGTACAGTCTGCGGTTGGGGATACTATCTGGTAATAATAAAGTATTCCGACTTAAAATAATGTTGGCCATTTAAATAATAACATCCATCCTTTCAATTTGCTTAACATCTACAGGATGTTCGGTAACGATTCTTTTGTGAGCATGGGAACCTAACGCGGGAAAACGTTTTCTTTTGCCGCTTGTGTGTTGCTTGCTTAATAGTAAACAACTCACGAAATTAATCAACCTACGAGGTTGGACGATCGTAAAGATCCTCAAATAAGAGATTGGACACCATACGTTTGATATAACTATATTTTTGAGGACTTGCTTAAGAGAATCCCAAAGTCGTCTGTTTTACCGACTAAACGCGTATAATTTTTATGATATATTTTTGCATATTATGCACTTCTTTTTTACACTTGAAAATCCCAGCATTAAAGCAGAATAATGGAACGATTAGGAAACAAGGACCGTAAACGGTCAAGCTTGATTTTTGAGTGCTAAAATAATTCTGTGTGAATTTATATACTACATATATATAGTCTTTTTTTTTAACTGCATGCCAAAATTATTTTCTTAAAACGCAAGCTGATTAAACTACAAGATTGCGGTAATATCAACAAATTAAATTGACAAGCAATTTAATAATTTGATGCTCTATTAGTATTCTATTAGATACAATAAATTTCAATATGTGTTGAAAATATGTAAATTTTGATCTGTAAAAAAAAGGACCATGAATTGTACATGTATTTATATTAACTATATATACGAGTATATGTATTGACTATGTATATGAATTCACACAGATTTATTTCAGCACTAAAGATTTAGTTTTATTTTTAGCTTTTTTATTGAAAACTTTGTTTAAAGCTATATCATGGGCGTATTGTAGAATTATTTTCGGGGTGAGAAATTTCAATCAACTCGGAATACCGTGCACCAATCGGAATGACAACAAAAAAAAAGAATTTTGCTATTGCACTAAAAAAACGCTACTGCATCAATTTTGTTATTGTAATTTACAACAATTTTTAACGTTAATGAATTCCATTTGGGTATTTTTACAACTTTTAATATCTTCTCGTATATCATTTTGAAAAGACGTAAAATTACGTTTTGTACATCATATAACTTTTACTTACTTTTAAAGATTTTTTTTAAAAAGAGAATAATACAATTACTATAAGAATGTATCAATTATAACGTATATTCTGTTTTTTAGGACAAAAATCTTACAATAATTTTCCCTATGCATCCCATATTTATTAAAGCTCGAACTAACAGAAGTGTTAAAAATTACTTATTGTATATTGTCCCCTATAATGAGAAGAAAAAATATTTTATGTAACAACAAAAACCTCACACAAAGTCAAAAGTAAAGTTGTATGTTTTTTACATTTAAAAATAAAAGAGAGTTCGGTAAAGTTATATATACATCGCCAATTCAAAATAAAATATTTTCATGAGTAAAGCAGCGGAAAATTATTAAACATCAACTAATGTGAGTGGATGTGTGCTATCAAGATATGTGATTAAAAAATTTTGGGGGCGGGAGGGGGAGTGAAGTAAAGTTTATGCCGAGAACGAAAAAAAATTTGAAATTGCGATTTTTCACTTCTATAGTTCAATATGGCGTCTAGAATTATCAAGTTGCGTCAACAGTTGTTTGATATAAAACTGTCATGAGCGCGATTGCACATGATCTAATAAACGATAATGCGTTCAAGGTAAGAAATCGAATTATTTGAAGCTGAATAAAAGAATGAAAAAATAAGATTATGAAATATAAAAACTAAATTAAAACTCACTAAATAAAAACTAAATTGACACTTGATGCGATACTCAAGTATTCGCGAGAAAAATGAGTGTGAAGTTTAAAAAATAAAATATTGAATATTTATTAAAAATTCAATACATAGTGTAGTCAGTCAGCAAGTAAAACCGTTTATTCAAAATTTTTGGAATCCTCGCAATCTTCGGAAGATTTATACAGTTTAGAATAATAAATATCGTAGAAGCATTGGAAACATAACATCAATTTACAATGAGCATTGCATAAAGCCAACGTTCTTACATGTGCATATTTTTTAAATATTGTAATTGGAAAACATGTATTGTGCTGTATTAGAACAGAAAAAGTATTAGAGTGTAGCATCGACAATATCAGACAATGTTATGAATTAAAAAGAAGACACGGAGACAATAATATGTGGAAAGGGGAAGGAGAGAAGTATTAGGAAAGAAAAAGGGAATGTATGAGATGCTAGAATATGTTTTCGGCAGAGATTCCGTATCATTTTGCTTGTTAATTCCATGTTTCTGTCTTTTTATATGGATCATTTCCGATATTATTTTTTTGTAAGAGGATTCAATGTCCAAAATTTTAACGTTATCCCATTTAAAATTGTGATTATGATCAATGCGGTGATTGGAAATCATCGATGACAGTTTAGACTTTTTATTAATATCGGAAGTATGTTCCTGTAATCTTATCTTTAATTGTCTTTTTGTTTGACTCACGTAATTAACATTGCAATTATCACAAAAGATCTTATAGACTACGTTTTGATTACATAATGGGTCCAATCCATCCTTTCCTTTTTTAATGAAATTTTTAAGCAAATTTGGAATAAAATAGACTAATTTACAGTTGAACATATTAACAATTGGAAAGAATTTCTCAAATATGGATTTTATATAAAAAAATTGTGAAAAACTTCTCCTTAATTTTTTTGTTAACAATTCTGTTAGTATTATCCATATAAAATATAATTCTTTTTTGTATAGAGGAAAAGATGAATTGTTGGACATCTATTAGGAGTATAAATAAGTTTCCGCCGTTTTTTATCAAAAATTGGGCATTTATTGTAAAAGAACGGTACCTAATGTTTTATTCGAAGTATTGTCCATCGCTAGCCACTACTTTTTCCCATCTTTCTGGCAGCATACGGATACCGCGTCGGAAAAACGCTTCATCTTTTGAAGCTATCCACGAATCGACTCAATTTTTGGTATCTTCATATGATGTGAAGTGTTGCTCAGACAGGCCATGCGCCATCGATCGAAACAGGTAGTAATCAGAAGGAGCAATGTCTGGTGAATACGGTGGGTCGGGTAAAACTTCCCAATTGAGTGTTTCCAAGTAGGTTTTGACCGGCGCCGCAACATGTGGACGAGCATTATCATGCAGAAGAATAACTTTGTCGTGTCTGGAGTAGTAGTGGGCGCGTTTTTCCTGGAGTGCTCGGCTCAATCTCATCAATTGTGTTCGATAGAGAGCCCCAGTAATGGTTTCGTTCGGTTTGAGCAACTCATAATAAACGATACCTAGCTGATCCCATCAAATATACAACATAAGCTTTTTCCCATGAATGTTCGGCTTGGCTGTCGATGTTGAAGCATGGCCAGGTGGTCCCTATGATTTCTTCTTCTTTCGGTTATCATAGTGGATGCATTTTTCATCACCAGTGATTACACGGTGCAAAAAACCCTTTCGTTTATGTCTGACAAGCAGCATTTCACATGTAAAAAATCGGCGTTCAACGTTTCTCGGCTTCAGTTCATATGGAACCCAATTTCCTTGCTTTTGAATCATTCCCAACAGTTTTAAGCGATGTGAAATTGCTGGTTAAGTCACTCCTAATGTAAGTGCAAGTGCTTCTTGCGTTTGGCACGAATCTTCATCCAATAATGCTTCCAATTCCGCGTCTTCGTTCACTTTCGGCCTTCCGCTACGTTCTTTGTCTTCGACGTCAAATTCACCGTTCTTAAACTTTTGAAACCACTCACGGCAACTTCTCTCACTTAAGGCAGCCTCACCATATGCTTCTACAAGCAATCGATGCGCCTCAGCTGAAGATTTCTTCAAATTAAAGAAGTAAATCAAAAGCTTCCGCAAATAATGCTTATTCGGCTCAAAACTCGACATTTTTGCACGAAAAAAGATATAAGATGCAAAATCGCTAATATTTCAAGGTTATGTTCTTGCCAGATGTCCAACCTTACGATATGACTTTTTACAGCTGACAATTTTAACTATAACATACTAGTAGCGCCTTTGTTTGTCAAACGGCGGAAACTTATTTATACTCCCAATATTATTTAAAAAAATGTTGATAGCATTAATTAGATTGATTTACTGGAAACGAGGATGGCATATAAGCGTATTATTTTATCCACAAACCAGTAGATTTCGCCTCTCTTGTGATAAAGCGTGGTGTGAGTTAAAATTGAAAAATCTGCCGGAAAAAGTTGTTTTGCGATATCCGTCAAAAACAGGTCTGTTCCTCAACCAATAACATAGTGTTCAAAAAAACTAATCTATCAATGCCAATCTCCATAGTAAATTGCAATCTAATGTAAAGAGTTAAAAATTTTTAAAGTATTATTAATGCTCTCTGATGAAGCCGCTAAAATGATGTCATCCACATACCGAAAATAAAACAACAACCGTACAGGTAACCTCTAAATTGCAATTTCCTCCAAGTCCTGCACAACCATGTCAGCAATGATTGAGGACAAAGGTGACTCCATAGTCTAAGATTTTGTAAAATTTTTTGTTAAACATAAAAAAATTGGAATCTAATACCAAACGAATAGTAATCAAAAATTCTTTCAAAAGGATTCTAGTTTTCTTGGGTATGCATTCCCATCTCTTAATGATATTATCAGATACCAATTTTATAGGAATATTAATGAATAACGAAATGATACCCAAAGAAATCAATACGTAATTAGGCTTAAAAAAAATATTTTTTTAGTTTTTCGATAAGATGGAAGCTATTCTTAATATGGCTAAGAGCTTCAGATATAAAATCGTTAATGATATTATGCAGATATAATGAAAAATAATATAATAGACTATATTATTACAGATGACACGATAATTCTTAAGGGGTTATCCTGTTATGGATCTTAATCCATATGCTTTGGGAATGTTACCATCGGTCATGAGTACGATGAACTCATGACCGATGGTAGCATTTCCATCCCATTGAACCTAACCTCCGATATGTCATTAATAAAGTTTTTATCTTTTCATCTA